ATTTTTCAGCAATTACAAGATTCCATTGAATTTTTTAATTAATTGCATTTATTTATAATTTTAATTCAATGAAATATGCCAAAAACTATTAATTTTCTATATGAGTCAATGACTCATTAGAAGCTGAACATGAGTTAGTTTAGAATTTTTGGCTCACTATGTTTTAAACATGTGCCTGAACAACTTAGGAAGAAGCTAGATGAAAGAGCAAAATCAATAGTTCTCATTGGCTACCATTCAACAAGTGCTTATAAGTTGTACAATTCTATAAGTAAAAAAGTTCACATCAGTAGAGATTTCCTTATTAATGAATCACAAAGATGGGATTAGTATAATACAACATCTGACAAAAATATTCTTATGCACTTTAAGGATCCAAATGATATTCAATACATTACTGAATCACTTGACCACTTGCCAAGAAGGTCTCAAAGGACACGACAGGCACCTCATTTCACTCAGAGACTATGAAGTTTATTATGATACAACAATCAATGCAAAGGGAGAATTAGTGCATTTTGCCTTACTTGTTGAATCAAAACCAATAATTCAGGAGGAAACATCTCAAAGTGTTCATTGGAGAAATGTCATGGAGGAAGAATTAAAGTCAAATTGAAAAGAATAAGACTTGGGAATTGGTTGATTTACCAAATGGAAAAGAAGCCAATTGATTTGAAGTGGGTTTTTAAAACTAAAATGAAGCCAAATGGAGAGGTGTCTAGATACAAGGCTAGGCTTGTCGTAAAAGGATTTTTACAGAAGTATGGTCAAGATTACAATGAAATTTTTGCTCCAGAAGCAAGGCTTGACACTATGAGATTGATTGTAGTTATGAAAAGTCGTAAAGGTTGGCCAATTTTTAGCTTGATGTGAAGTTAGCATTCCTTAATGGTCCTCTACAAGAAGAAGTTTACACTTCACAATCATTAGGATGTGTAGTAAGTGGACAAGAAAAAAAGTCTATAAATTAAAGAAGGCTTTATATAGCCTTAAAAAAGCTCCAAGAGCTTGAAATTTGAGAATTGATAGTTTTTTTATTCAACAGAAATTCAGTAAATGCACTACTAAGCATGACATCTATATCAGAAATCATGAGAGCAATTTATTGATCATTTGTTTTTATGTAGATGGTCTCTTGATAACTAGAACCAACCTAGATAATATAGTTATGTTTAAGAAAAACATCATGCAGGAATTTGAAATAACAGACTTAGGAGAGCTATCATACTTCCTAGGCATTGAATTTGTCAAGACAAGTAAAGGAATGTTCATACACTAGAAGAAATATGTTGAGGATATTTTGAAAAGGTTCAATATGAGTGATTGCAATTCAGCTATTACTCGTATTTAACCTAGAATCTGTCTTCAACTAGAAGGAAATGAAGAAGCAATGGATCATACTTTGTACAAGCAGATTGTAGGGTCACTAAGATATCTATGCAATACTAGACTAGATATTGGATAGAATGTTAGGTTGATAAGTAAATTTATGAAAGAGCCTAGGACTTCTCATTTTAAAGCATCAAAGAGAATTCTAAGATACTTGACGGGTACTTTGGATTTGAAAATTTTCTATCCTCAAAATAAGAAGAATGCAAAAGGAGAGGTCTATGGTTATAGTAACTCAAATTGGTGTGGAGACAAAAGAGATAGAGAAAGCACCCCAGGTTATGTTTTCAAATTTGAGTTAGCACCAATTTCTTGATGCTCAAATAAGTAAGAAGTTGTTTCTTTGTCAAAATGTGAGGCAAAATATATCTCTATAACTATGACAACATGTGAATCAGCTTGGCTTGAGAAGCTAAATCTAAAATTAACTAGACCTATGAGATTACTAGTTGATAACAGATCAACTATTGATTTGGCAAAACATCTAGTTACACATGGGAAGAGTAAACATATAAAAATAAAGTTTCATTTTTTGAGAGATTAAGTAAGCAAATAGAAGCTTGAACTTGAATTTTGCATGTATGAGGAGCAGCAAGTAGACATACTAACCAAGCCTTTGAAGAGTATCAAGTTCAAGGAAATGAGAGACAAGTTTGGATTGATTTCTTCTGAGAATTTTAACTAAGAGGGAATATTGTAATTAGTTAAAATCCTGTTGATAGTTAAATAGCTATTTGTTAAACAGTTAGCTAGTTGAAAAAAAACCAGCTTATATAAGGGATGTACCTTTGCTTATGATATACAACTTTCAATTTTTACTCTTATGTTTAATTACTATCAAACTTAGTCTCTATCAAAGAGTGAATCATGTGTGTGTGTGTGCGAAAATTGTGTTTAGAAACCAACATCAATTGGATGATGAGAAGTATTACCCCACTTTTTGAGATAGAGCGTAGAAGGTAATAAAGAACAATCTAGTTGTAGCTCATGCAAAGAAGTCGGAGTGTATCTACATGATTGCAGAAGAGGATATGATAGAATTTACTGTGATTGCTAATAATTCTTCTTTGTGGCATAAAGACTTAGGCACAAAAGTAATAAAGAAATGAAGTTCATGATGTCAAAAGGTAAACTAACAAATTTAAAACATATTGGATGTTGGTTTTTGTGAATATTGTACCTTTATGAGGCTTCGTCTTTGCTTCTTCACCAATTTCTTCTTAGCAATTTGTGAGGTATTTGAGAAACTTAACAACATCAGTCATTTACTGAATTCAATATGGGTCATATCTATTTTATACCACTGAAGTTCTTCAATGGATTAAATAATACCCACCTCTGCATGATTTTTCATCTTTTTTTTCTAGATTATTGAAATCAAAGGATAAGGAAAATTTATTTTATGGTTACATTGTAAATATAATTGTAGTTGTTTGAGAAATAAAATATATACATTTACCTACATATGTGGTGTAACATCCTTATTTTTAATTAACTAATAATAGTTAAAAAAAAATTGAAATCATCAAAATCGGAGAGATCCTGAATAACAAAGGTTCAAATTGGAAAAACTTAAATAGTAAAACATTAGTCTTTAAAACTGGTAATAAACATTAAGTATCATAGTCATAATTTGTTTCATAATGTACAACATATATTTGTATTTCAAATACACATAAAGTTATCAAAATACCTTAAGACCATTCATTTACAAGTACTCAAAATAATAATGATCCTAATAAACAGCCTAACCACCCTTTGACCAAGTGACACTAGTCATCCCGTGCCACTCTTCTATCATCGCTAGGTCTTCAACAGTCAACTCGTCATCCAAACTCAAATACTGATTGCCCGAGTCTGCGGTAACTTGAACACTTGTAATATGCTCGATTGTCCATCGCGATGGTATTCTAGACTGATCGTGGTCATGGTACGTGACAAGATACGTTACTGCTGCAGAGGTTCTCTCAACACCAGAAAAGATATAAATACAGAGAGTGTGATGGATTCTATATACAGAGAAATCAAAAAGGATACTAAAGGCTAGCTCCAATTCCATCATCACTACCTCACTAGGCACCTCACTATCATGTACAAGGATTCTAAAGGAAGTAAATCTCTGATACTCGCCAAAAACATCATTTACAATATTTACTTCTGAATTGTTTACTATTCTAATTCCCTCCCTGGGTGTCGTTATCTAGGTTCTCTGAAATGGTTACGTAAAGATGAGTCTCCACATTCATTACCAATCATACACACTCAGAGAATTCAATAATACAGGTCAAACATTCAACATGCATCATATAACCAATTCAATTATGCATTTAAATTATGTTTCTCTATTTATTCTCTCATTACTTATTTCTAAACTCAATACCATTCTCATTTCCACTGTCCCTAGGATCCCTTGAGGTCTTCTTTAGCATAGATAGTTGCTAGATAGCCGTAGCTATACAGATACAACGTGTGCCAACCTGGCCCCTTTTAGCAAAAATGTAGTCAAGAGTATAGGTCAGGAAACAAGCGTGAGGCATGCGGTGTCCCTACTCTCATTTGTATTGTGCAATTTAAGAGGAACATCTACCACCCTCATTTCTCCAAGACTTCTCAGTCTTCTCCATCTTCCACACTCCTAGTGTACCTCTGAACTATTTATACTTGTCCTTTTCTTATCCATTCTGATTTCCTTTCTCTTTCTCTTTTATATCTTATCTTTTTAGGCCTTTTTCTATTTCATTATCTCACTATCTATTTTTTTTTTCATTGCCAAGGGTTATTCCTCTCGAACTCAGTACATCATACACATGCTTAGATTAAAATATATCATACTCATCATATATCATTTTCAAACATCATAGAGCATGTTTTAAATACATCAATCACATGTTATCAATCAAAACATACTCATTTCAAGCATTTTCACCCATACATACAATAGTTCCTAGCAATGAAATAGAGCTCTTCTTACCGTGAGACGAAGTTTTGAAAGAGATTTTGTGAAAAGTTCTGAGTGAAAGGACCAAGATTTTTCTAGATATCACAAAAGAGAACATTTTGAGAAAAGAGAAACTTAGAAAACACCCAAAAAGAGAAAACAAAGCTCCAAGAACTTACTTGGAGTTGATTGATGAAGTTCCTAAGCTTAGATTTGTAAGAAAGTTGAGGTTTTGGAGAGATTTTCTAAGAAGAGAGGGTTATGGGTCAAGAGAACAAGAGAGAGCTTGAAACTTGGATTGTAATCCAAGTTTTCTAACTTGGAAACTCTTAAATACCGTTAGACTCGCGGCATTCTCGCTACAGCAAGAAATTTTTGCTACAACAATACTTTCTCTCGCTACAACGAAAAAATCAGACAAAATTGCACTTTACTGTCTGTCATTCTAGCTACAGCGAGAATATCCTCGCTACAGCGAGAGAACACCTGAATGCTTGATTTTGATGCTGAATTGTCTCACTACAGCAAAAAATACTGCAACTTACACATCTAAAACTCTCCTAATTTCAAGCAACATACATTAACAACTCACATCAAGTATAAAATTAATAATTAATAAAGTAGGGATGTTACAACTCTCTCACCCTTTTAAGAATTTCGTCCCCGAAATTCATTAGCTCAGAAAGAGATGGGGGTAAGCTTCCCTCATTTGATCCTCAAGTTCCCAAGTAGCATCTCCTTCATCGTTTGTACTCCATATCATTTTCACCAGAGATATTTCTTTGCCCATCAACTGTTTGACTCGGCGATCAGCAATCTTTACTAGAAACACTTCATAAGAGATATTTTCTCGAACTTGGACTGGATCAAGTTTGATTACATGAAAGGGATCTGGAATGTATTTCCTGAGTTGAGATACATGGAAAACTCGATGCAATTTAGACAGATTTGGAGATAGTGCAATCTCATATGCTACAGGGCCAATTCTACTCAAGATTTCAAATGGTCCAATGAATTTGTGAGATAGTTTTCAGGTTTTCAACGCTTTACCAACTCTAGTAATGGGTGAGACTCTCAAGAACACATGATCTCCCACTTGAAATTCTAACAGTTTTCTCCGATTATCATAGTAACTCTTCTGTCTATCTTGTGAGATCTTCATCTTCTCCTTAATCATTTTGATCTGATCGTTCTGCCTTTGGACTAAGTCGATTGCATGTAAAATTGCTTCTCCGGACTCATACCAGCATAAAGGTGTCCTACATTTTCTTCCATACAATGCTTCATACGGTGCCATCTCGAGACTAGCATGGTAACTATTGTTATAAGTGAACTCTATCAAAAGTAGACACTCTTCCCACGTTTCTTGTTGCTCCATCACGCAAGCTCGTAACAAATCTTCCAGCGTTTGGATGGTTCGCTCTGTTTATCCATCAGTCTGAGGATGATATGTTGAACTAAGTCTCAACTTAGTCCCCAATGATCTTTGCAAACTTTCCCAAAACTTGGAAGTGAACCTGGGGTCTCGATCAGACACGATGCTCAAAGGCACTCCATGTAGCCTAACTATCTCTTTGATATACAATTCTGCTAACCTTTCCAACTTATATTTCATGTTGATTGAAAGAAAATGGGCAGTCTTGGTCAATCTTTCGACTATTACCCATACCGCATCATGATTTTGCCTTCAATTTTCACTATTTTATTTCTTTATGAATCCTAATTTGATTAAGCGTTGGATTCTCTAGTTACTATCCAACCTCATAATCTGATGAATGCAAATTTTATTAGGTTTTTATGTAGTTTTCTAGGCCATTTTTAATAGAAAATGTAATTTGGAAAGTAAAAACTGTACAAAAATATATAAATATTTAATAAAATAAATTGTTATCTTTAGTAATTCAAATTATGTGAATTTGATAGAATTCTGATATAATTTTGTTAGTTTTACAAGAGATTCTAAGTTAAGACTCTTGAGGATAAGGATTGAAGAAGAGAAAGTAGAAGAAAGTAGCAATTTTGGAGACAAAGAACAAGGATTAATGAAGCTAATTGTTTGGCGTGATCACTATTTTTAAGAAAAGTGATCATTCCAGAGCTTAAGTTCAGGGACTGAGTTGTGCATTATCACTTTTTTCAACAATAGTAACCACGCTCATGAAGAAGAGATCTTGCGTTATCACTATTTCTGATAATAGTAATTGTTTCAGAGCTGGGGTGAGAAGAACAACTTGTGCGTGATCACTATTTTTAGTAAAGTGAACACGCACAAGTCTAAATAAGAGGAACAAGCTGCACGAGATCACTATTTTTTAGAAAAGTGATCACGCACATGACCAAAGGGCAAAACAAGCTGCGTGTGGCTCTTATTGTGAATAAAAGTGAACACGCACATGATATGTAAAGCAATCTACCTCTGCGTTGCTACTATTATAAATAAAAGTGATTGTTCCAGTCATGAAGGTTACCAGAAAGGCTTCTACATGGTTACTTTGTTGAAAAATAGTGATCACACTAGAAAGGCGAGAAATTTTATAAATAAGAAATTAGCTTAAAAACTTGGGATCTTTTCTCATTTTTTTCATTTCAACATCCTAAGAGAGTTAGAGAGGGAGATTAGGGGCGACTTCCAAGCTCTGGACCTTGAGAAATCAGGCTTGGGATTAGATTTGTGAAGAAATTCTACAGCTCCTCTTCTTCTACTCTTTCTCTCTCTTTTTCTTTTAGGAACATGTTCTGATTTCTTTTTGTTATTTATTGATAGATCCAATTTTGATATTGTAAATTGATTGTGAATCTGTATTTTAAGATATTGAATGTTTAATTCTTTCCTTAATGCAATTCTTGAATTAGCTATTCAATTGAATTGAACCTAGAGGATTTTCATCAATAGAAGTTGAGTTAATTTCTCAAATCTGAATTGAATGTCAAGGTTATGGATATCTTAGGGATAAGAATTCGTAATCTTATGATCTCTTAATTTCTAATGCCTAATGCAATGTTTGACTGAATTACACCTAAAAAATTAGGGTAGTTTAGTTAGATATTAGGATCAATGAGGCAAATGATTGTCCTTTGATTAAATAAGTGAAATTGATCATCAATCAATTAAAAAACTTAGAGTTTAGATATACTTCCATTTTTCAATTGATAAAGAGGTTAAATCACACATTATTTCATTTCTAAAATTTGTAGCTATGTTTTGTTGTGATTTTCTTATTTCTACACTTTATTGCTTTTGTTTACAAGTGCTCAAAACATCTCTAATATTCATTTGGCTCAACTAATTATTGATTTGTGAAGTGGTAATTGATAGAACTAATCCCTGAGGACGATACTTGGGACTCAAATGAATTCCAAATTTTATTACTTACTACAACTACCTAGTACACTTGCTAGTTAGTGTTTTCTCGACTTTGTGACATAATCCTCCCCAACAGCCTCCCAGAGGTCACTTGCATCAAGAAAAGCCTTCATTCTAATTGCTTATAGGTAATAATTTTCACCTCAAAAGTTGGTAGTATTATGATTGAGTTATCAAATTGTATTTTCAATTCTCAATGTAAGTGTTTATGTGTTTGGTGAAACTCTCAACCTTATCAAGTCTTTCACGAACAAATAAAGCTCTAATTACCAAATATTAGAACTACGAGAAATGTAAAAGGCTATAAACTTAAAAGTTAAGACTAATATTTTTATTCATACTAACAACTTTTAAATACAAGAAAATTATAACTTAAAATTGATTCTAATTCTCTTTATTAATCTGAAAATAAATCATAAATAAAATTATTCATGAATGTGTAACAATTCTATATATTAACTTTCATAATTTTTATAATTAAAACTCACATAGTAAGAATAAACACTAATAATAAATATTGATTTAAATTCTAAACAGACTGTGATAAAAACAAAGAAGAGTAATAAGAAGGAAAAGATTGAAAGTTTTAGCGTAGTTTCATCGATGTAACTTGCATTTATGGACAGATTGAAAGCTTTTTATCACTATAACATATACTGTACTACTTTATACAGATAAATATGTTTTTCTAATTTATATACAATTTATAATTCAGTATAACAATTTATAACTTTTTATTGTAATCTATTAAAATAATAATGGTTGAAATTTAAAAGGCATCACAAAAACATGTCAGGTTAATACATCACTAACTATACTAAGGATTATATAAGAAACATTTGTACGTTTTTTATTAACAGATGAAGATGAAGGTAAAAAATGAGATAATTTTTTAAGTACCTTGTATTGTAACATTTAAATTCACATAGTTAAGTACACTGTGTCACATTACACTAAATATATTATATCATTATCTCTATAATGATTAATTAATATATTCTAATAAAATAACTAACATGAATAAAAGATTCCACATTAAAAATATTATTTTTGAAAGAAAATTGGACTAAATTGAAAGACTAATATTTTTCTAGAGACTCATTTAAAGTTTTAGTCTTTTTAAGGTGATGAATAATTTTAAATAAATAAAAAATAAAATAAATATTTATTGTTTAAAAATATATGATACCAACTTTAGAAAACAGTTGTGACATTATCTATTCAACTCAAAAGCAAATACACGGTTCATAAGATAAAACTAGATTTTTTAACATGAAGGTAGAAATCAAGTTTAAGGAGAAAAGATAACTACTTGGCACAATACAAAGTCATTAAGACTTTGATTTAGAATTTGGCGGGACAAAAAAGAATTTGAAGAATAAAAGAACAGAGGAAAAATAAAGTTAATAAAAAAAAACTGTCAAATTGAAAGAATTTACAAAGATGAGTTTAAAAAGATTTTAGATAGTTTATAGACTCTTTTTTTATTCAAAAATTCTCAAATAAGAGTTGTTATCAACTGTGAAATAAAGCTTCCAAGAGACTCACAGTAATAAACAGCTGTGAACAAAAAATAAGAGTTAAAAAATAGACTTCCAAATAAAAGAAGATTGACTATAAATTTACGAAACACTGATTCTTGGATGGTTATTACAATTCAGGGGAATCAGGGAAATGATAAGCACCCAAAGCATACCGCACACGCTTGCTAGGATCGTTCATGAAGCTTGTGAGTTCGGAATTATATGAACTTCCCTTAATCGCCTTATACTCATTCCACCACCTCATATAGCTGCTTTGCTTCAAGAAAATATCTGGAGACACTTCATAATTCTGGAGCAACCCATAGACATAATCCTCAAACTCAATCAATTTCATCAGTATTTCTGGCTCTTGGACAACCTTTAACTCTTCGCATGCAACGAGAGCCTCTTCAACATGTGCCCAAAAGCAAGAATCAGTTCTTAAAATAAGTTCCACACGTATCTTTCTATTTCTCTTCAGGTTCTCTCTGAAAACCATAGATTCTTGGCGGGAAAGGAGGGCCTCGTCAACACGTGCACCAAATCTACGTACATTCCTTCCATTCTCTTTGACAACCATTGACCCTTGTCGGGAAAGGAGAGCCACATCAACATGTGCCTCAAAGCATGAATAATCTTCATCAATGTTCTTATTTGTTCCATTTTCATTTTCTTCAACAAGGTTCAACTCTTTGCTTGAAAGAAGAAGGTGGTCAACACGTGCCCAAAATCTAGGACACATTGTTGGAATAGGTTCTTCATTCTCCTCACAAGATAACATGTCCCAGTTATCTTCCACGTCTTGGGAAACCATGGACTGTTGGCGAGAAAGGAGAGCCTTTTCAACACATGCCCAAAATTGAGAATCTTGTATTCTTAAAATAGCTTCTACATTACTTGTTTTGTCTTTTGTTGTCTCATTCCTAAACCACTCCTCCAAGTGTACAAAGTGTTTAGGTCTATTAGCCATATAGTCTTTTTCACCATGTTTATAGTAATCAGCAATAGTTAAAGGTTCAATCATTCTCCTGTAATTAGTCCCATCAAAGAGCCAGCTCTTACGAAAGGCTGCAACTTCTTTCTGAGGCTTTATATTTTCTTCTTCCACCATTTTTTCCCAGTAAATTCTGAGTTGTTTATGGAATGCAACAACATCGCCATCCACTAATGACTCCATGTTCTTGTAGCTGTCATAGTACCCTATTTCCCGCTTTTTAGCTTCCTTCTTGTACCATTCAAGTTGGGCCATAGTTATCTTCATATGATTCAATTTCTTGGACGGGTTAAATTTAACCCTCCTCTGCATGATGGATTTTACTTCCAGTCTTTTCAAATTTATTTCCAGATTATTTATATCAATATCGTTTTGTTGCTTCTGCCAAGTCAAATTTAGAGATGAGGAAACGGAAAATGCATTTTATGGTTACCAGATACTAGTTTGATTACAGATAATAAGTAAAAATAAGGCACAATTAGATAATTGTAGTAGTTTGATAATAGAATATATGGTCTACCTGCATATGTGGTGTCAATCCTAATGCGCGCAACTGTAAACTGATACTACTTGCAAGTACTGAATCCGATTTTGGAAGAGGCTCGTTTTCATCCACAATAGTTAGGTCCTTGCAAATTGCTTTATGAGTGAGATTTTCTACCATATTTTCGTACTCAGTAAATTGAAATCCTTGATTCTGACCATAGATTGAGCCCGATGCTATGAGAAGTTCCAAAATAGAATCAAGGTTGTCAAAACAAGTAGAATTTACATCAGAACACAATAGATATGTTCCAAAAGGCATGTAGGTGCTGATTTTAGGACTCAATGCTGCAGCTGAAGAGCTATGGTTTGTAATGAAGAGTCTTGGAAGTGGGTCTTTGATTGACACAACGTGTAGAAAGCAAGAATTCCACATAGGACTAGGTGATATGGCTTGTTGCAACTGCTTGTCACCAATGAGGGGTGAACCATAGGTGATGCAGAGTGGGCGATTCTTTACTGACCGCATGCCATCTAATAGTGATATAGTGAAGAGAGAAGCAATTGATCCTCCAAGACCATGTCCAGTAACAATCAATGGAGTGGCACTATTCATCTGCACTAGGATTTTTATGTAAAGATATACATGGGAAGAACAATATATGACCCCTACAAGCATGCAGAAGAACTACACTATATTTAAGACAAACTTAGCAAACTGTTGCTTGCTCTAAAGTTATAATAATTTTATCCCAAAACATTGGACTTAAAGGGTATAGAATTATAACTTCTAAGGCAAAAAGTCCCTACTCTTTTTGTTTCTTTTATGAAAAAAAGAGAAATTTTAAAGCTAAACAATGTGATACCATAGGGTGGTTATGAACAATTTACAAAGTCAAACAGCTAAATTCAGAACAGAATTAATAAGCTTGATCAGGACACACATCATCAATCTCTAGATATGTAGGAAATACACAGTTTTTCATGCAGGCCAGATAAGGTGTTTTCAGCTTATAATTTTCCAAAGAGAAATCAAAAGAGGCATAAAAAATACAAGGGAAAGGAGGAGATGTACCTCAAAATCAGATTTCTTCCACTCATCAAGCCTCTGATGGTTTCTATAGAAGAGTGAAAATGCAGTGCTGTTGATAGAGAAAACTGGGTTGGCTTTGGTACACAGAAAATCAAAGTGAAGGAAATTCTCCTCTCTTAGAGCAGAAGATGGAGTCAAATCCGCTTGAAAATTGAAAGAATCTGATGTTGCCTCAAACGCTATAATCATAAAATCTGAATCAAAATCCTTATAGACTTTCCATGATAGTCCTTCTCCCTTGTTTGAAACGATTCCTTCATAACGAGATGAAATAGCATCCCATGATCTGCGAAGAAGACCAGTGCTTATCACAAGAGGTGCAAGCTCCACTCCACTCGATAATCTGAAACCACAAGCACACATAATCTAACTTAAGTAATACTGTGAGAATCAACATGTCGTGTTAATTACTTCTGTTTTATGAGTTTTAAACTAAAAACCAACAAGGAAAGAGTATCCTTCATTTGTCACATACAGTGCAGATTGAGCCATGGTGCTTGAAAGAGTAAGAAAAAGCCTCAAAACGATGAGCAAATAGTCTTTAAATGGTCGATGCCATTGCAGAGAATGGAGTAAGGTTAGTCAACACCCTGTATGAAACTTTTGTTATTATAAATAGTTAGCTGAAGGACTAATACAAGACAAAATGTTTTTTTAATAATTCTAGTCACGTGCTTCCATTCTCTTGTTCTCTCCTATTTATTTAGTCAAAATTTAATGCACTATGGTAGTATTATTTTTTCATCAGGAATTAAATTTTTAGTTTGATACTGTACAATAAAATTCAACATTAAAAATTAACACATCAGTATTAAAATTCAGTATACTTCAGGGAAATAAAACTTTAACTTTAATTAAAAAATATTACTAAAAGTACTTATAATCCTACACTTAAATTTTCTTGATCGTGTGATGGTTGGTAATTTTGTATTGTACTAGGTATTTTCGATTTTTTAAATTTGAATTGAATCTGCATCCACTCTTCAAAGTATTTTCGATTTTTTAAATTGAAAGAGATTATAAAAACTTTATAAGAGTTGGTTTCCTCGTACCTAATCTTTCGACACTCAATAAAAGTACCTTACCAAATTATTTGTAAATTTAATTATCAAAATTAACTAAGTGATTATATGGGAAGAAATAACAAGCTTTTTGTTAGTTACAACATAAATAACTAGCTTAAACAAATCAAGGCTTCTTCCATTAATACTTAACCAAAAAAAAAACATATAATATCATTTAATAACTACAGCTAAGCCAGTGAAGATCCACTTAATTCTACATAATCCACTAATAAATCTTCCAAAGGCAGCACAAAAAGATAGTGCATGCTTGTTGGCTTATGGTACTTATGCGGAAAACAAATGTAAATACAGAATCAGATTAAAAGTGTAGATTAAGCAGAAGAATTTTAACAGTTGTTGATTAATAATTGTAGAGAGCGTGTGAGCAACATACATAGGAAACTCAATAGAAAGCAAGCGGAAATGCGACTTATTGATTTGGACAAAAATAATTTTATTAATTTTTTCCTAAAATAAAATAAAAAATATTAACTAGTTATGTATAATATCAAAAGAGACTTTTTAAAGTTACACCCCTCATCTTATTTTTAATATGAAATTTTCAAAATATAAATTTACTTACGTTCTATCATTTATTTAATAAAAACATTTATAGATAAAAATACTAAAAAGTTTATCATCTTAATTTTTAAGATGATAAATAATTTTAAATAAATAAGTATAAAAATTATAATTATGGAAATTATATAATTACCAAATTTTAAATTTTAGTTCAATAATTAATTATATTTTTATCTAGTATTTTATATTTATTGGCTAATTCAACAATAAATTTTAAAAAATACTTTTAATTTATATAGCAAACACATTCTTAATCGCTTCAAATAAAGATAAAAGTCTAAAAATAGACTTCCAGGAAGAAAAGCTGTCTTTATTAGATGGTTATTATAACTCAAGGAAACCAAGTAAAACATATGCTCCTGAAGCATATTTTACAAGCTTACTAGAATCGTCCATGAAGCTTCTGACTTCTTAAAGGAGTGCCTCTTCAACATGTACACAAAAGCAAGAATTGATTGTTAAAATAACTTTCATGTTAATATTTCTGTTTCTTTTTAAATTCTCTTTGACAACCATAGACTCTTGGGCGATATAAGAGGGTCTCAACATGTTTGATGATGAAGTGAAAACATTAATTCTACTATCCTTTCTCTCAGATAGTTGGACTGCAATTGTTACTCTAGTATTTCGGACAAAATTAAAAAGTTAAATCTCAATAACATTTGTAACTTGATCTTAAGCAAAGATATTTGTAGAAGAGGTTGAAGAGGGTTTTTCAGTTTTGCATCCAATTGAACATTGAATACTAGAAGTAAAAGAAGAAATAGTCAAAGGGGTCAGAATCAAGGCCAAGATAGACTAAAGTCTTGAGAGAAAAGGCAGACAAAATTTTGAAATAATATTATTTGTTGGAATTGTGACAAGAGAGGTCCCTTTATTAAGAAATACAAAATTCTAAAGAAAAAGAAGAACAATAAAAATAAGAAGCACCAAGATAATGAATCTGCAAATGTAACAATTAATGAACATGCAGATACATTAATTTGCAGCTTAGATAGTCTTGTTGATTGATGGGTTATGGAGTCAAGTGCATCATTTCACACTACTTCCACAAAATTATTATCAATGTTTCTAGAAATTTCAAAAATGTTTACCAATGCAAATAGAAAATCTCTTAATACTGTGACATTACACCATGTCATAACCCTACTTTAAAGAGAAATGTAATATCTATAGGACAATTGGATGATAAGAGGTACTACACTACTTTTAGAGATGGAGCATGAAGGTAACAAAGAACAATCTGGTTAGGCATAAGTGATAAAGAAATGAAATTCATAATGTCAAAGGTAAATTATCAAATCTAAAACGTGTTGATGTTGGTGTTTGTGATGTGAGGCTTCATCTTTACTTCTTCACCCATTTCTTTCTAGTAATTTACGAGGTTTTTGAGTGACTTAACAAAATCAGTCATATACTGAATTCAATATAGGTCATATCTATTTTTATACCATTGAAGTTCTTCAATGGATCAAATAATACCTGCCTCTACATGATAGATTTTTCATCTAACCTTTTCATCTTTTTTTCAAGATTATTAATATCAAAGGACAAGGAAAATTAATTTTATGGTTATATTATAAATATAATTGTAGTTGTTTGAGAAATAGAATATATAGATTTACCTGCATATGTGGTGTCAATCCTAATGCCTGCAACTGTAGATTGATACTACTTGTGATGTACCTATTAAATTTATTAGTAGAGAATTTTGCTGGACTAGGTCCAGTGAGTTTTTACCTTTTATACAGGATTTTCTCACGTTAATAATTTTGGTCTCTTTGTTTACTTTCTCTATACTATATTTATTATCATTTGCCTGAAAATTGTGTAAAGCCAATTTTAATTGCACAATGGGAAAAGAAAGATCTAGTTTGCTTCTGCGTATTACTGTTATATTTGATATCTTTCCCAACATCTAGTAACAATCAACATAATAAAACTATTAATCTGCATTAGGAATTTTATCTAAGGATTTACATAGGAAGAACAATATATGATGCCTACAAACATGTAGAAGATCTACATTATTCTTAAGACAAAATCAGCAACATATTGCTATAAAGTTATGTTATAATTGTATCTCAAACACTTAAGTTTTGAGGTAGTAACCCTTAGCTAGAACTCTCTTCTAAAGAACTCCTTTGTAGGAAAAATAGGGTTAGAGAAAATAAGAGAAGAAAAAAGTAAAGAAGTTCAAGTGCTATAAAGCTTATGCATAGGGAACTGTTGGTTTTATGGTAAACAAAAGTAAAATAAAATAAAGAAAAGGAAATGCGCAGAATTGTGAGAAAAATGAATAGAGAAAGAACTCAACTTTTATTTAATAGCAATAATACATTTATAATAAGTAAAAAAAACATAAATGAATTACTTAATTGAAAGATTTGATAACATACTAAATTATTCCTAAAATATCAAAATCACTTATTGATTACAATACTAATCTAATAAATTGAAATAATAGAAAATAACTGACAGTAGTTTTAAAAACATATTGTTAACTCTCCTCCTCGCTTCTTAAACTGCAAATTCAATCTTTCTATAATTTAAATTTGTTAACAAAAAGTGGATTTGTTGCCAACAGGAATCTTGTATTCTCTTTCTACTTCAAATTTGAATCAAATAAAATATTCTTTTGCATAAAAAAAAGAGATAATTAATTGAGTCACTTTGATCACTGTGAAAGAAATTAGTCAACTTGAATTTTTCACTTCTTTTGAAGTTGATGTTTGAGTTACAAGTGTCTTTAAAATATTTAACCACTCTCTTTGCAACTTTTGGATATCTTTTATTTGCACTATAGATGAAACTAGAAAACTTACTTTCAGCACTCAATGTATTAGGATGAAATGTTGTGGTATTTTCTTTGCGTGAAAAAGTTATTTGCTCCTCTTTCAATATATTCAAAGTAAAAAAAATTTTATTTCATTTTTACGTTGAAAATATCTTGACCAATTTCATCATCTTCTTCTTCTTCTTTTTCCTAAACAAGGGGGCAAAAAGCCCACAAAACAATGTTTATCTTCAAAAATAACTTTGAATCCCCCCTCAATTAGTTGAGCAACACTTAACAAATTTTGCTCAATTTTAGGAACCCAAAGAACATTATGAATTAACTTTGTATTTGAATATTTTGCTATTCCAATTGCTCCCATTTCTTTGAAAGGGATGAAATCACCATTACCTATTTTGACTTTAGTAATGTTAGTCGGCATCAAATCTCTAAAGAGTTTCTTATTATTAGTTATGCGACTAGTGTAACCACTATAAATTAGCCAACTTCATTTGATTTAAAGTCTAGGAAGCAAGTAGCAACAAATAAATAATCTTCTCTCTCCTAATTAGCAATCTTAGCCTTTTCATCTTAGCGTTTTTTTTTTTTTTTTGCATATAACTTTTTCATATCTCATTTGGTTGCATTTACTTCATTGTGCATTTGGCCTTCTCTAACATTTGAAAAGAGGATAACCATTTTTTTTCACAATGATGACATGGAGGATAAAATTTCTTCTTGTTGTATCTTGCACTTTCATAATGCTTAATATGTAAGGCTCCCTCAATAGCACTTTCTTGTCTCATTGCATGTCTTTGCTCTTATGCTTGTAAGGCATTTAAGAGTTCCATTAGTGTGATTTTGGACAAGTATTCGGTATTCTCTAAGGTGGTGGTTGTAGCCTCAAATCTTTCAGGCAATATTACAAGAATTTTTTCTACAATTTTAGAATCAGAAAAATCAGTATCTGGTAATCTTACCTTGTTAACTATGTCAAGCAGTCTATCTGAGTATACTTTGATCGTCTTAAACTCTTTCATTCTTTGAAATTCAAATTCTATCATCAAATTCAACACTTACATGCCTTGAATTCTTTCATTTCTAGCATATTCTTTATTAAGATAATCCCAAATTATCTTTGTTGTTTTTAAAGTCATAGTCCCGATAAAGATAGTTGTTGAAACACCAACAAAAAGACATGATTTTGCCTTTGCCTTTCGTGTTTTTCTTTACTTGAGACTTTTTATATGGGCTATGGTAGAATTATGCGGTGGTGAAAGAATATCATAATCCTCTTCAATAACTTCCCAAAAATCTAAAACCTCTAGGTAAGTCACTATTTTGATAGCCCAAAGATTATAATTTTTTCCATTAAGATAGGAAGAGCAACTTGTGAGAAATTTAATTCAACATCCATTTTCATAGGTTTGTAAGATGATAGTTCTTGATACCACTTTGTTGGTTTTATAATAAAAAATAAAATAAAATAAAGAAAAGAAAATATGCAGAATTATAGGAAGAATGAATGAAAAAAGAACTTAACTTTTATTCAATAGTAACAATACATTTATAATAAATTAAAGAAACATAAACAAATTACGTAATTGAAAGATTTGATAACAAATAAAATTATTTGATTCTAAAATATCAAAATCACTTGTTAATTATGATACTAATTTAATAAACTGAAACAATAGAAAACAATTTCAAAAACATATTGTTAACATGAACTATTCATAATCAAAACAAAAACTCTCTTTTCTTTCTTTTCTAAAGATGAGAAGGAAATTTTGAAGCTAAACAATGTGATGAAATAAAAGCTAGACTCCCGATCATCAAGCCTCTGATGGTTTCTAGAGAAGAGTGAAAATGTAGTGCTGTTAATAGAGAAAATTGGGTTGGTTTTGTTACACAGAAAATCAAAGTGATGGAAACTCTGCTCCCAAAAGAGCAGAAGATGGAATCATATCCGCTTGAAATTTGAAAGAATCTGGTGTAGCCTCAAACGCTATAATCATATAATATGATTAGGTTCTTTATAAACTTTCCATGATAGTCACTCTCCCTTGTTTGAAACTATTCCTTCATAACGAGATGAAAGAAC